CAACGCTTTCGAACACCAATCGGAAGCCACGAGAATGACAAACGCCAAGCATGGATAACGAGCCAGGGAATCAACCGATTACCTGAAATTATAGAAAGAAAAGATGACGTCCAGTCGGGGATCAACCGATCGCCCGGAAATACAAATTCTCCACTGAAGGAAGACGACGCTCAACACGGCCGGGGATCAACCGATCACCCGCAATCACAACCAGTTCAAGGGAAGACCCAACCAACCGGTTGACAGTAATCGTATGATGACATGACAATTGGGATCAGCCGATCGCCCAAAAACTCCCGAAGACAACAAATACTCGGTCGCCAACCGAGAAATACAACATGAGCTAGAATTCAAGGACATGTGCGTGGAAGATGACAACTGCCGGGTGGTCAACCAACCGAACGGGACTGCAAGAACGAGCCAGAGGATCTCGGCCGCCAACCGAGAAGATAAGTTATCCAGAAGCCAACGGCGAGAGCAGGTTAGCCAATCTGCCAGGTTAAATCCAGTTTAAAACTATAAGAACACATAAATGTACAACTCGTAAGTAACGAGAATATTTACGGCAAAGAAGCCGAAGAAATAATTAATTATCACTCAAAATATGGAATTATTTACAACTTAAATTCTATTAAAATCTAAGTTCATATCTCCTCACAGAAGGATAATACTTGACAAACCTAAATATTGTACTACGACATAACTCTCTCAGTAAAAAATAAAAAAAGAAGACAATAAAAAAATATATAATACTACGAGAGAGGCCAAATTGTCAATTATGTAGCTAATTCTAACTATTTGAGCAAATCTCACAAATTCATGTTTACTTTATGTGTGAAACAAATCATATTTACGTGTGAAACAAAATTATAATCATTATACGCGTAAGGCAATTATCTATTATGTGTGTGAATTAAACACCAAACATTATACAAGCCAAGAAGGCTAAGAAGCATCCAACATTAATGCCACAAGGCCATTACACTGCCGCTTATCGGATTCAATTTGACCAAATTAAAATTATTAGGTAAATCTAGGGATTTACCGGGCCCGGAATGTTGCGAACGCGACATTGTAATTATTAGAAATTCCCTAATCGAGAGGACGGCTCCCTCTGCCAGGTCATTCACCTTATGAGAGTGGCAAGGGAAAGCGAAAGTATTTCGGTAGGAAATTATTATTTATAAAAAAGGGCAAAAGAGAAAAGAAAAACAAAGACAAGCCGCTGCTCGGAAGAGGTCCTGCTGGTACTGCACCCAAATAAACGGCGCATGGTGACGAAAGTCAATCCATGTTTACGACCGAGGTAGCACAAGCCAAAGGACGGCATAGATACACACGTGTACTGCTCAGCCTTGCGCCGGCAAGCAAAGCCGCAAGCCCATGCCTAGTAAGGCAACCGTACGCACAGTACGAATGCCTACCGATAAGAATAGACTTTTACTTTCTCTGCCGCTTCTCCGTTTAAAAGGGGCATCATAGCATGCAGCGCACTAGGCGTGCACTTGAACCGTGCGCAGAGCGAAGGGCATCTGCTCGATAGGGAAATGAGGATAGAACGATAGAACGCTAGCCCATAAAAAGGTCGTAAAAGATTCGATACGCGGTGGTACGGTCGAGTATTAGAAGAACAATACTTAAATAAGCAAGGGTGCATTTATAGAACCAGCTAGAAGATGTTAGGGAAGGTTCAGTAAATTACCTGCAAGAGGTAAGGCCCGCGTTTACTTTAAGAAGTAAATTGTTTGAGAATTGTAGCGCGGGATGATCATACGCATCGCCCGGCTCCCGAAAATAGAAGAAAGGTAATAAAATTCGGGACGCAATAAAACCATATCGTCACTTAGGCGATGCATTGAAGGCCATAGGACTTGTACGTAGGGACTTGAGCGTAGGTGAATTAGACCCTTGCATAGCAGCAAAGCGCACATGCGCACAATGTACCAACGCCCAAATTCTAGGGCCCCGACCCGCTATATAAGCGGAACTTTTTAAGAAATAAAATCAGTGTGTGTGTTATTTGACTATTCGTTCATGCAGCTCACTCATCCGAAACCCAATCGGTAAGTTATATCAGGTCTTGAGTCTGAATTGGTTAGCAATCCAGCCGAAAGATTGTATCCGGAAGCCCCTTACTCGCCACCAACTAAATTTGGCAAGTGATACCGGACTCTCTTTAGGTGGAACCCAACCAATTGGAATCAATTACAGATTGTGGCAACTAGCCAGCAGTCTGGATTGAAGAGATCTGGTTAACTTGAATCTTCACGAATCCTTGAAGAAGGAAAACTCTGCTCACAAAACCTCCCCATCCTAGCACACGTGAGCCGATTACCTTCGCATCGGCTTGGCAACCGTTTGAATCGTAACCCTAAACGATTCTCGCAACGGGAACCAAAAGACCCTCACGGGTGCGAAACATCAACCTAGTATCCCAACTCCTGACCAAAACAAAAACCCAATCCCAATACGATCCCGTGAGCAACACGCACTGAAAGCAATATTGACAGATTTTATGTGTCAAACACATACTTCACGTCCTCATCTTGTAACTTACAAGTTCTAATTATCACTATACCATCTCATGATTTCATAATTCTGAAAAACATTTTTTTTATAGCAAGTGAGTGGAAGTAACCCTGAACAGAACACGTTCTAATTCAGAACAGTCTTTTAATAAAAACAGTTAACAGTTTCCGATAATCTTACCTAAGTCACACCGATTGACAACTCTGATTCTGGATCACTATCACCGTAGAAACCATCATGCGAATCCCGAGACAGTGGTGAATGAGGTTAGACAGAATTTCTATATTTCTCATCATCGGGCAGAAGTAAGGAATACTTCACAACTTTGCCAAAAATGGCACCTCTGCCGGTCGCCAGATTAGCATCCTTCGAATGTCCTTTTCTCATATGTTGGAGTGGACTATTTTGGCCCGGTGCTTGTGAAGATTGGGCGCGCTCACGCAAAGCGCTGGGTGTCATTGTTTACATGCCTGACGACTCGCGCAGTTCACCTCGAAGTTGCGCATAGCCAGAGTACGGAGAGCTGCATAACGTGCTTTCACCGATTTGTCGGGTGGCGTGGAGTCCTTTTGGAAGTATACAGCGACAACGGCACAAAACTTCCAAGGTGCTTAGATAGTGCTTAGCCGAACAAATCGTTAACGGCCTGGCGGAAACATTTACCAATGGCAATACCAAATGGTTGTTCAACCCACCCTCAGCTCCACATATGGGTAGAGCTTGGGAGAGGATGGTCCGTTCCATCAAATCCGCCATAGAAAGTATCGACACCGGAAGAAAGCTTGACGACGAAGGATTTCAAACATTGCTAGTTGAAGCGGAAAGTATGGTCAATTCTAGGCCATTAACCTACCTGCCTGTGGAGTCAGAAGAGCAAGAGGCTCTAACGCCAAATCACTTTCTGCTTTGGGGCTCCAGTGGGGTTAAGCAACCAGTCGCAAATCCCGCAGATTACCGGGAGGCAGTTGTAAGCAGCTGGAAGCAGATCCGACATCAGTTAGACATCTACTGGCGCCGTTGGTTGATGGAGTATTTACCAACGATTTGTAGGCGGACGAAATGGTTTAGCGATACCAAGCAAATAGAAGTAGGAGGCCTAGTGGTCATTGCGGATAGTAGCAAACGGAATAATGGAGGCTATTTCCGTGCATATTTAGGTGATTTCGAATAACGTAAGAACAGAACTTAAAATTACTAAATTCTATCACTAATAATTTACCTATCATTAATCGTAGGTGCGAACTGATCGCGCACAAAATTGCAATACAAAACAAGCCAACATTTTGATTAATTAAATTGACTTTAATTGTGAGTAAAACTTAAAAAAAAAAACAATATGCAACAGGAAAAAAAAATGTCAAATTTATGAAAGTTATGTACTAACAGCCCATAGTACGATACTGAATTCTATTATTACCTTACCTTACATAAAACACGAAGCCTATACTGAATTGTAAGTCTACACTGCACAAAATTAACCTAATGCTTAAACTAATGAAAATAAATTATCCATTTTATAGCCATTTTATAAAACCCACAAAGTGGTTGATTACAGTTTGTGAGTCGAACAGTTGACTGGATATTTTTATATTTGAAAAGCATAATTACATTAAATTAAAGATTAAACATCCAGTAAAAGTTCTGTGTTATGTCCAATGTCCAGATAAAGGTTTTCGTAATCTCAAACATAAAAATAGAATCAATTTCTAGGGAATTCTGATAGTTACTTTTTCAAGGAAATTTTCAACCGGTAACAGATTAGTTTGAATTTTCAGACTGTAGAAAAGATACCAAACACATCAAGATTGTATTTTTTCTTCTTTGATTTGTTTTGCGTCGATTTTGTTTTCTGTATTGAGTACCAATGCTACCGACACCAGGAAGGCAGCTCCCACACCTGGACCCTCCCTATGGACCCATCAACTCATGAACCGGGACCAACGGCTTTACTTTCCTTCCGACGGAAGATGTGATCAAAGATGTTATGCCTCAGGCCTTTTGGGTGAGAGACAATCACGCTTGCCACTACACCACGAACGCCACTACCAAGATTGTAGGAATTCAAGATTTTTGGTAAATTTATTTATTTATTTGTACAGGCTCAATCGAGAGTTTAAGATTTGTAAAATAGGCAAATTCTTTAGAAAACTAACTTTAGTCATTTTTCATGATTCTAAACTTAGAACAAACTCCTTCTGAACTATGAATGAATGCTCAATGGAGATTTACGCTCACTGATACCATAATACGGAAATTTTACAGATTTTTTTTTTTACAGATTTTGTCAACCAGATACAGATTAAAACGATTTTTTGCCATGAGAATACTCGCGCAACACGAGAAAAGAGCCTATCATTTTTGATCGATTTCCTTCAACAATTTTCTCTTTCGCGAATAACCCGACTGCAAATAAATTTCCCATTCAGTGTGTTGATTCAGGCATAATCTAACTATATTCGCTATATTTATAGTCTGGCGGATAGATTTTTATAAATTTTTATTTAAGAGCTTTTTAGCCGAAGGCTAGTTCATCTCTAAGCGAATAGAATTTCGATCTATCAAATAGCGGAACCAATTCAATATATTTTAGACCAACAACTGAAAAGGCACTATTAAGTTTTATAAACAAAACATTTATTATTCTTTCCTCGCTAATCGAACGCAAATTACTGGCATCATCGGGTAGAGGAAACTTTCCCCAGCCTAAAGATGGTGTTAGTTTGCGTAGACGTGCCTTAAGTCACGAGAAAACGGGTTCGGGGGAGAAAACATCATCTTCTGTCGAACTGTCCTGAGAGCTTAGCGAGAAATTCGTTTATGTTGCCGTGGTAAATCAAAAAGAAAGTCGATGAAGAGAATCGATCAACGAGGATAGGCTCTTTTCAAATGTTACGCGAGAATACAGATTTAAATTCGAAAAATGTGACGTCACTGCCTAGGGCTGATCGGTCAGACAGTTTCCAGATTTCTTTCACGATGTACCAGTTCTAATAGTGATTGTAAGAATGAGGGTGATGTATAGACCAGGATTAAAAGTGCCAGTTACACTATCCTCCTTGTGAATATATGTAGACTAACATTTGAAAAGGGCGTAATTCCAAAATTATCATATCGAAAAAATCGCTTCCGAATTTTGATGACCTAAAAATTAATCCGTTTTAACCAGGGGGAACGACACTCATTTGGATGTATTTTTTCAGTCTAGTAACTACTTGGGATTTTCGGGGAAAAAAATAATTGATGAGATTTTTTTGAGTGTGTCGTGTTGACGAAAATGACGAAAATAGAGCACGGATAGAAAAAGTTAGATGGGATAGATCTGGGAATGGATGTGATGTGAGGGGTGTTAAAAAGTTTCAGAGGAATACAAGTCCAAACGCGAAGAGGATAGGTGTAAAAAGAAGAAAAATCTGCTGCAATAAATTACGTCTATAAATTACGTCCGTATAAAAATCTGCTGCAATAAATTACGTCCATAAATTACGTGACGCTTATATATCGTTACGAATGATTACAAAGGGGAGGAGGAGTAAAGCTTTCCGTTACGTAAAAACGAGAACATTTTTTTTTTTTTTTTTTTTTTTTTTTACTGAAGTGCGGTAAAAATCGGTAGAACTGTTTCAAACACACAGTTGGTACTTGAGCGGGACGGTTTCCATCTCTTTTTGCCAGTGGTGGCGGGGGGGGGGACACCCCTCACCATCCCTCTCCAAAGGGGGAGTTTGGTAAAGAGAGATGAAAAAACCGATTTGTACCTTCCTTAAAAGTTGTTCTAGCTCGCTATTCTAATATCTATATGCAATCTTCACACTGCCGTACTCTAACGGAACTATCAACTCTATGCTTTCATCTACTCCATCTATCGTATAAAAATTACCACTACAGTCTGTTATTTGAAATTAGCATCTTCAACTAAGAGAACATTTTGTTTTTTTTTTGTTTCTTGATGTAAAGCTTGAAAATACAGGTCAAAAAATGTCATCACTAGATCTTGCTTGCAAAATGGATATGTTTTAATTTTATATCATGAGATTTTTGCTATGCTAAAACTTTTGAAAAGCAGGTACTCGATGGTACGGTGATCTTTTGTTTTTATTTTGAATATTAATAATATAATTACCTAGAAATAAAAGACATATCGTTACGTAATAACTATAGGGGGATCATTTTCAGAGTTACGTTTTGTTCTAAGGGGGGGGGGGGGTCGAAAATATTGATTTTTAGCGTAACATAATTAATGTTAACCAAAGTTCACAGTTGAAGTGCAGAAAACGGTTCCGTACCAAGTACACTCAAGAATATTACAAAACGAATATAGATTAAATTTTATGCATTTTATGGTTTTTAAAAATGTATACATTCGATTAAAATTTTTGTCAAAATTATCTAAGTCCGAATAACGGAGTGGAATTCGCTCAGTGTTTACTAAAATGACAAAAAAAGAACATCTGGATTCCCTTCGGAGCTTCGTGCTGATGAAGAGCTTTGTCCCGGCGGATTTCTACTGCGCCTGTGATCTGCTGGGCAGCATCGAAATTTTAAGTATGGATGCACGTTGCCGTCTTCTCCGTGATGCACTTGATGCTGTCCCACGACCGATTTTAGACGACTGGCCCGTCATCTTTTTTAAGTTTTCGCCGAGGTTTTCGCACCGATTTTTAACCGGCGTAGCCAGCTAACATACGTGGTGTTTGTTGTGGAGATTTTTGAAAACTGACAGTGGTTAAGGCAGAGTGCTTCGCAGTCGACCTGAAAACTTCGAGAAACTGCACGGCTTGCTTGACAATTTGTGTACATACAGAAGGGATAAGTTGGGAATAGAAAGAATAGATAGGATGGATTGAAATTTTGTGCACGTTAAAAATTTTATGAGAGGTTTTGGTAAAAATGGGATAATCTTGAAGTGTCGTTCCCCCTGGTTTTAACGACTTTCCATTTTCTGGGTGATTATATAAGCTTTACAGTTAATAATGTTATCTATCATCATGCATCACTAAAAACTCAAAAAAAGTTTTCTTTGTCGTGAAGTTAAGGAAGAAAACATTATACGCCCTGATAATTTCTTACATGTTGGTACCCCCCGGATTTTCCACCCTTTGAACTGCCAACACTGGTGATACGCCGTGGAAGTACACCCTCGGGATTGTTTGTTTGTTGTTCCGCCTTGGTTCTTCGTTCGCAAATCTTGTGAGAGTGGAATTACGCCCGGAGATTTTTTTTTCGGGCTTCTTTTTGTTCGTTGTTTACACGTTAAATATCAATCGGATGCATTTCAAATGAATCGGGCGTGACTAGATATAACAGAATCAGTAGTTTGACATATTAAAAAATAGGGATTTTGATCTAAATTCCGTCCTTCTAAGCACAACCCGCGTTTTACCTCTCTTTTTTTAACGGGTTTGAACAAAAAATGGAATATTTCTGTCAAAGATTACTTCTAAATTTATTCACCTTCCCTTGGATTTGATAAAGAGTAATAAATTGTTGAGATATTGTTTAAAATCTAATACTGCTTCTTGATTCTAAATTCGTCCTACGATTTTCAATTCCATCCAAACGCATTGAACGAAAACAATCCATCCTGTAAATTAGCGCTAAACGCCAACTAGAACTAGAATAACCAATTAACTAGAACAAAGATGAAGAGCCATAGGCTAACCAATTGAAATGTGAAACCAAATGTTGAAACATAAAAAACAGAAAATAAACGTAAAATTTTACTACTTTTACTTCCAAACGCATTGAAACGTCATTAGATTTTCTTCGTCCTACGGATAAACGTAGAAAAAGGAGCGCTTCTTTTGTTTTGAGAACAATGAGCGTCAATATTCATACAATGCGCTCTAATAAGATTTATCTTGTAGCTAATGAACTATCGCATCGAAATGAACCTATTATTGATTTGTGCACGATGAAATCATTGATATGTTTGATCTTTTCTGATCGATAGAACGGAAACGGGCGAAAACGACAAGGTAGCGCTCTACCCTATAATTCGTAGCTCTGGTGCAAGGCGTAACATCCAGATGCATCATAGAGTTGAAAGTTGGAAATACGCTATGTAAGAAGAAACCTTTTTTGATGATTTGAAGTGATATTTTCTTCTACTTTTTCGTGTTTATCGAGTAGTCTGTGAACTGTTCTCGATATATGTGGCAAAAATAGCAGTGCCGGTGGTGTAGTGGTAAGCGTGATTACCTCTCACCCCAGCAGGCCTGGGTTCAATCCCAGTCGGCGCCGCCGGGATGTTCTGAGGCACAACATCTCTAATCACGCCGTTGTAAAGGAAATGGAAGTAAAGCCGTTGGTCCCCGGTTCATGAGTTGATGAGTCGATAGGTAGGGTCCAGGTGTGGGAGCTGCCTCCTTGTCGTCGGTAGCATTGGTGCTCAGCACGGAAAACAAGATCGACGGAAAACAAATCAAGGGAAAAAAATGTGGCTAAAAAATATTTGTTTACATTTTGGCTCTTCCGCCCCTTTCAAATGTTAGTCTAGATATTGACATGTGTAACGTCCGCTTTAGATGTTTAGATGTATGGGCAAAACAGCGCAGAGCGCAAGCTATTTCTAAACAACCCAAATTTGAGTAGGATCTATATTGATCACTTATCTTCATATAGTTTCAGCATTATCGACATTATAATCAAAAGGTGAGCTATAAAGTATAATTACCATGCATAGAGATATGTAAATGTACCAGAACCTGGACGGACACGAGTCTATCCAGAGAAGAACCCGGACCACCCATGTGTGTCTAGAGTATCGCACAAGCTGACGAGTGCAACGGGAAGGACAGTAGGTGTATAGACTATAGGGGTTTAGTGGTTGGTACAGCCTATACACTGAACAATTACAATTACAATTACAATAACAGTAAGTTCAAAGTAATAAATAAAGTAGTGCATCGTAATGTTTTGCACAATTCTTGGGGCCGTTAATTAACCAGCAAAGATCAATTAATTAATTAAAACTAGTACTAAATAGAAATTCTCTGTATATGTCTAGTAAGAATGTTCGTTTCACCCAGATTTTGCCAGATTTGGTTCAAACAATTCTATCTGCTGATTTCTTCCTCTGAGTATTTCTAGTCTTTAGAATCGTTTTATATGCTAATATTTCAAAAACTTGGTGAAAAAAGGAATGCTTCGACTCACTTCGCTATACAATATGTTTTTAGAATTATGGAATTTTTTGATGTTATAATGATATTTTGTAACTTATAAGAAAATGTTGAAAAGTATACGTTTGACACATAAAAATTGTCAATTTCACTTGTAGAGTGTCAAAATCAGCGATTTTATGATTCTTGAGCGCGAAGCGAGTCGAAGGAACCCTAGGTACAAATAAGAAAGAAAGAATCCAAATTTTATAAAAAAAAATGATGTTCTACCAATTTGAACTACATATGCCAGCTACACTGACTGGGTTGCTATCCCTACCAGTTGTAAGTACGTGGCCAGGACAATCCTTAACTGTTGGAGC